CATATTGCTGATAAAATTTTAGAAAAAAAAGCAATGGAAAGATTTTATGATCCTCATAGTTCTATAGGTGAAAAAACTGCAGCCATTTTTACAGCAAATGTAATGAATGTTAAAAGACGATTTGGAATGAATTTAATTCAATTTAATTTAATATTTTGTATTATAAAATGAATCTAAATTTAAATAAAAAACAATTTAATAAAATATTGAAAGCTCATAAAAATAATAAAGATGTATCAATTCTAATTGAAAATAATCAAATTGATAGTGGAAAACATAAATTTATTCTTGAGCCAGAACAAATAAGAAAATTAAAAAACGCTAAAAAAAATAATACCGGATCAAGTTTAGAACTTAAACATGTTCAAATTAAAAAAGGTGGATTTTTACCAATAGCTATTGCTGTGGTTGAAGGTGTAAGTGCTTTGGCTGCAGGTGCTAGTGCACTTTATACTGCAGTAACTGATGCTAAACACAAAAAAAAAATGGAACAAGAAACAATTCGACATAATAAAGAGATGGAAAAAATTAGATCACAAGGTTCTGGCTTGAAAAAAAAAAAAAAAATATTGAAAAAAAAATTGAAAAAATGAATAAATTTGAAATAACAACATTTAGAAATAATATTGAAAAATTTGAAGGTATTTATACACGGTTTTGGATTAAAAAAAATAATGTAAAAATTGATCCATTGAGTAATATAGATATAAATTATTTTGGAAATAAAATAAAAAATTATAGAGGGTGTTTTATGTTAAATGAATTACCTACAACACCATGGGAAAATGAATGTGGAGTATTTAATTTAAATGATTCTACTCAAAATGGTTCTCATTGGGTTGCATGGAAAAAAATAAACAATACATTTAAAATATATTTTGATCCATTTGGTCATATAGTTGGTGAGCCACCAAAAGAACTTTTAAAATATTTGGGTAAAGATAATCTTTTTTGTACTGTTTCCCAATTTCAATACTATAATGATCCACCTATATGTGGTCATTTATGTTTAGAATTTATTGAAAATTATAAAAAATTTATTTAAATATTTTATTTTTTTAATAGAAATATTTCTATTAAAAATAACAACTTGTTTAATATATATTTAACAACGAGTAAACGAGTCAACGAGTAAACGAGTCGTTGTTTTTTTACGTTAACTCGTTGACGTTGTTTTTTTACGTTAACATTGTTTTTTAACAACTCGTTGTTTTAATAATTCGATGTTAAAAAAAATATATTTACTAATATAAATAATAGAAATGGAAAATATCAAAACACTTTTAAATATGATTGAACAACAACGTAAAATCCTAAGACCTATATTTAATGATAGTGATATTGATATTGATTCTGAAATTAATAATATATTATGGAATCAAATATTAGATAATTGTTGTTACGAAAATGTTGCAAAATATGATTATTACAAAAAACATAATCAATTAAAATCATTTAACTTCCGTTTCATTAGTAATTGTTGTTTCGAAAATATTTTAAGTTTTATTAAAAACAAAAATTATAATGAAATTAAACTTTCAATAAACGAACTACGTAAATTAATACAAGAGGAATTACATGATTCGAATAATAATAATAATTATATGGAGCTAGACTGATTATTTTTTAAACATTGAAAATTTAAATCGAATATAATACTTACGAAGTATTATATATAATATTATAGTACCTATACAGTGTGGTATAATAATAATAATAATAATAATAATATATATATCAACGTTGTACTGATTATTTTTTTAACATCCGGTATTGAATACCTTATCATAATATATATGTATAGTTTATATTATGATGTTTTTTTATCGAATTATTTAAATAGTGTTTAAATAATCATTATACATGCCCAAGTGTTGTAGCTCAGTGGTTAAGGCGTTTGATTTAAATGTGTTCTTGGTCGGATTGAAATTAGTGGGGGAATGTGTAGAGCTGCATATTCACCTACTAATTTCGTCAGGCTTTGAAAACGTTTACGGTAGATTGTATAGGTGGTTGCACACACCTATGCAATCTACTGAAAAACTGTCGTTGACCTGCTGAATAAAGCACTTGGGTAACTTCACTGCCCACGATAGCTTTGCAGATATCTGTAAAAGAGTTCCGGCCTCCTTTTTTCCTAACGGGTATCTGCAAAGCTGGGAATGGTTTTGTAGATTTTTTGAGGTGCATTTCCCTGGCACCCCCACTTCCGAATTTTGGATTCAAACCAAGGGCTTTCGTTTGTGCTACGTTTGTGCTGGATTGTGCTCGAATTTCATCGTTTGTGCTGCAACCCTTAAGGACTTATAAGCGATAACGATTGGGGGTGCCAGCGAAACGACTGCACCCCCACCTCAGAATTTCGGATTCAAACCAAGGGCTATCGTTTGTGCTACGTTTGTGCTGGATTGTGCTCGAATTTCATCGTTTTCTGCTGCAACTCTTAAAGAGTTATAATGGATAATGATTGGGGGTGCCAGCGAAACGACTGCACCCCCACCTCACAATTTTAAAATTTAAATTTCACCATTCGTTTGTGCTACGTTTGTGCTGGTTTGTGCTCGAGTTTCATCGTTTGTGCTGCAAACCCTAATGAGCTAGAACGGATCTTTAGTGGGGGTGCCAGCGAAATGGCTGCACCCCCACCTCCAAATTTTCAAATTTAAATTATGCCATTCGTTTGTGCTACGTTTGTGCTGGATTGTGCTCGAGTTTCATCGTTTGTGCTGCAACCCCTAATTAACTACAGGGGATCATTAGTGGGAGGGGGTGGTATGGAGCCATAATGTAGCCCCGATTCAAAATATTGGATCTCCAAATGAGCCAATCTTTAGTAGTTTGCTACTGATATCCTGTACCACTTTTTCGACGTCAGTACTCTACTACTTCCGGAGTTATCCTTATAAATTTAATTAGGGGGTTGTAAAGACGTGCTGGCTCCCCCCCATATTGAATTGTTTGGTCCAAATCAGTCCCATTGGTTTTGACTAAGTAAGTGTGTTTGTTTCTAAATAGATTGTTTTTATTGAACAAAACCAAAATAAAAAACTAGAAACTTTTATTATATAATAAGTGGACTGTATATTTCGTTTTGCGTGTGTCGTACCACTTGACTGGTCCGACGGCAACTAAATAATACGTGAGGACATAGTACGGCACAAGCCCACAATGATAATCTTACAGATAATGATTTCATATAAACATTACATCGATATTATATATAAGTATATTACGGTGTTCGCGCCCGTAACATGGGCCCACCTTGAAACACGGTTTCAAAATATAATACATATTATAAAAAAGAATAATTAAACAATATAAATGACTTATTAAATATAAATTATTACAAACAGGTTTCATATGATTTTACAATAACTAATAAAAATAATAATAATAAATGTAATCGAATAATTAGGTGGTAGAACTAATGTTCACTAAATAGGTGAACAAAGATCAAAAAATAATACACAATATTATTGACTATCGCTACAATGAAGATAACAATGGTCGGTCATTAAATAATAAATATATATATATGCTTATGCATCAATATGGATACTTAATAGTTGATATTAGCTGACCTATATAATATTTATAAATAGTGTGCTACAGTTGTACACGTTTAATGAGGTAAATATGGATAGTAAACAATTATATAAACAGAATTAATTAACACGTAACCTGTGTGATTCATGTGTCTATGGGTAATGGACATAATAACCGAAGAGCTCGCTTTTTTGATCCCAAATTCGTATGCACCGTAGCTACCCTTATGACACCATCAGGTCCTGGGTGAACATTTGTGACTCTGCCTAATAACCATTTTAAAGGAGGTAAGTTATTCTCCTTTATTAACACCATCGTCCCAGGTTGAATGGATGGTCCTCTGCATTTGGACCACTTGTTTCGTCCCTGTAGTTGCCCCAAATACTCCTTGCTCCATCGTGCCCAAACGTGTTGGACAAGTTGCTGCACTCTTTGCCATCGAGACAATCTATTAATAGATATATCTCTCACGTCAGGCTCAGGCAGTGCGCGTAGTGAGCTACCTATTAGAAAGTGGGCGGGAGTAAGGACATTCAAATCCGTAGGGTCTTCGGATATAGGGATTAAAGGACGGGAGTTTAAGCAACATTCTATCTGTGTTAGTACCGTATATAGTTCGTCATAAGTTAACCGTGAATTTGCAATCGTTCGATTCAAGTGTTTTTTTACGGCCTTGACTGCAGCCTCCCACAAACCACCAAAATGGGGGGACCGAGGCGGTATGAACCTCCACGTAATTTCGTGTAGTGTTAACGTGTCTTGAACGCGAATTTTGTGCTGTTCGGAAAGAAGAAGTGTGGACAAATCACTTAACTTTTTGTTAGCACCCACGAAATTAGTACCATTATCGGAATATATGGTATGGCATTTACCTCTTCTTGATATAAACCGGTGCAAGGCAGCTATAAAGGCATCCGTGCTGAGATCACATACTAGCTCTATGTGTACAGCCTTACTTGCAAAACATAAAAAAATGCATATATATGCCTTCTGTAGCTGTGCGTTTCTACGTGCGTGCGACTTCATTAATATTGGTCCCGCATAATCAACACCCGTAGTTTCGAAACATCTTAATGGTCGGTTCACTCTTGGTTTTGGTAGAATACCCATAATTGGTTCTACAATATTAGGTTTATTTTTAAAACACGCAATACATTTATGGGCGACTTTTCGACCGTTCCGTAGGTTACTGTACACAATCTATATTTCTTAATAGGCTCATTAGGATCACCGCGCCACAATATGCGCTGATAATCTCTATCTGCATTATCAACCCATACCTGCCTATACATTTTTTTAATATCAGCTGAAAATGCATATTTATGTGTACGAAATCTCGTAACAATTAATGTGAGGTCATCTTGTAATATAGGACCTTTTAACAATACATCGTTTAGCGATAATCCAGATTCTGATTTGCATGAGCCGTCAAATACCACTCGTAATTTTGTTGATCAGCTACTATCATTAAGAACGTAGGAGTGTGGCATGTAATACGTTTTCACTGATAGGTCATTGTCCTCATTAACTTTCTCCATATGCCCCAAATGCTCATATTCTTCCATGAACCCTTTATATTGACTATATCGCTCGGGATTTTTCCCGAGACGACGCTCTAACGATAAAAACCTTTTTAACGCTATGTTATATGACTCGCCTAACATGTCTACGTTATCTCGAAACGGCAATTTTACTACAAATTTTCCCGTGGAATCTACTGATATGTGATCTTCAAAATGTTTTCTACAAATACTATCTTCCGACGTTTCGTCCATATTTGCATTGGAAAATTCTTCGATTTTCCAAAATTCTTCAATATCCTTTTCCAAATTTGAATAATTATCTTCACTTATTACAAAGCAAGCCATTGAATTATTTTTTGATGAAATTTCATTCACTGGTCCTACAATAATCCAGCCGAACATTGTTTGCTGCAAGTACGGACCCATTGTGTGCAGTTTGAAATTTCCCGAGCACATTATTTCCCAATAGGTGTCGGCACCAATCAATAAATCAATTTTTTCCGGCTTAAAACACCTAGAATCTGCCAACATAATATCCGTGGGTATAGACCATTTGTTAGTATCGATATTGTTGGTCGGCAGTTTTCCGGTAATTTTTGGCAATACCAGCATGTCTAAGGTGGCAGAATAATTATTTATACGTGACTTAATAGACGCGGTTACCTGATACGCGGCACGACTCACTACCTCATTTATACCTGTTATTGATTTATTTATTTTGGTTCTCGCGAGCCCTAATCGCTGTGCCATTGCTTCGGTCAAAATATTTATCTGTGAGCCGTTATCTAGTAATGCCCTGCATACAACTAGTTCGCCGCATGCATTTAATATATGTACCTCTGCAGTCGCTAATAGTACTTGTGCGCGCGTTTGACCACGGGCGGCGTGACTCACCACCACTTCCGAATTAGACACATTTGACGTAGACGGATTTTGTACAACTTGTGGTACATCACCATGCAGCAACGTATTATGCGCTTTATCACATTTGGAGCATACCCTTTTCGACCTGCACACCTGTACATCCGTGTGTCCCGTACCCAGGCAATTGCGACATAGGTTTAGTTCATCAACCTTTAGTGCTCTTTCATTCGCATTGAGTGCGATAAATTTTTGACACTTGTAAATAGGATGTGACTGTTTACATAAATAACATGCTAAACGATTGGTAGCAACAAATGCATTTACTTTTTTATTATTTTTAAATTGGACGTTTTTATCATTTGGATTGCGATAATTTTGCTTAGACTGCGTATAATGCGACGTATTTAATTTATTCGATAAATTTTTTGAGGTATCAATCGCCTCTAATATTTTACACCGTTCATTTAAAAATGTTGTCAACTCCAATATAGAGGGTAATATATCTTTGGTCGCCACAGATTCCCAATTTCGTATTGTATTATAATCTAATTTGACTAGAATCACATGCAATAATAGCGCACCCCAGTCATCTGGATCATGACCTAACGCCTTTAAAGCTTGCATATTCATGTTTAAATCAGCAGTAAACTTCCTTAAACACACACTCGACTCCTTTTGCATAGGTTCTAATTCATATATATTTCTCGTATAAGATTGTATGAGAATACGCTTATTGTCATATCGTTCTACGACAGTGTTCCATGCAATCGAGTAATTGTCACCTGTGGTCGCTAAATTTTGTATCAGAGCCAATGCGTCCCCACACAAATACATTCTTAAATATACAAATTTTTGTACACCTGCTATTGTTGGATTTAAATGTACCATGGTCAAAAATAAATCTTTAAATGTGGACCACTCTTCAAATTTTCCCGAAAACGACGGTAATTCTAACGGCTTCATTTTTATCGCCGGGTCACCTCCTTGCGCAAGATTGCCCGGTATACTCAACCTGTTTATGCCACTAACTACATTTGAACCTTGTACCATAGTCTCTGCTTTTGCAACTATATCAAAATATAAATTTTCAAACGTATCTCTGTAGTCCAATTGCTCATTACTGGTATCTAATGCCTCGATATTATTCTGAACTGCATCAAACTCAGTCCAAAGTTCTTTTATTTTCTCTAGACGTATTTTTATCTGCATGATATTGTTATCCATATCTACATTATTGATATATGTTTGGAATTTTGTCAGCTGCGCCTTTAATTGACCTCGCCTCAATACATAGACGGCCAATTCATTTGACTGACTACCCTGCATTATTACGTTTTTGGTTTTTCCCTTAATTTATATTTTCAACCTTATGAAAACTTTATTTGTATATATACGTTTTTAATTTTTTTTTTTTATAGAATGTGCCTAAAGGAAAATGAATGGAAACTTGTGCCCTTATTTTCTAATATTTTTAGCTCACTCACCTGGTTGTATGTCGACCGATGAATGTTCAGCCACTGCACACTAGAGCATTGAAAAACAGGACCACTTTGAGAATTTTTTTTCTTTTTTGATTGTTCGATTTGACTATAATAATGCCACTGCACGGTTACTGTGTCCGCGGGGACGTTATATTTATTTATATGTATTCAAAACGAACTAAAGAACAACATACACTTCAAAGTTTGAACTAGACAATATGTCCACTGAACGACAACGAATTCGCGGGACGTATTTACGCAAAATGTATTGCTAGTCAATCCGGTTCGATTGGACCAAAATGTTTGTTTCTAAATAGATTGTTTTTATTGAACAAAACCAAAATAAAAAACTAGAAACTTTTATTATATAATAAGTGGACTGTATATTTCGTTTTGCGTGTGTCGTACCACTTGACTGGTCCGACGGCAACTAAATAATACGTGAGGACATAGTACGGCACAAGCCCACAATGATAATCTTACAGATAATGATTTCATATAAACATTACATCGATATTATATATAAGTATATTACGGTGTTCGCGCCGTAACAAAGTGCTTATTTGTACTATTTGTCCCATCGTTATTATTATTTACTAGTAAAAAAAGTTAGGTATAAGCCTTCCTTACGAGGGGATGCAGGCTATATACCTGGTATCCAGGTCTGAAGCTATCTATGTATTTTTATTTTACCCTGATACCTGAGTTATAACTTACAAAAATTGTAATACAAGTTACAACTCACAATTCGTTGTTTTTTAATATTATTGGATTTTTAATCATCATCAATGTATTCTAACTTTGTATTAACTTAATACTCTGGGAGTACATTTTAGAGGGGCCTAAACCGAAACGTTTGGTGAAGAAACAGTCCCCTTAAGTTGAACCTGTCCGAGAATTACTTAGCTCAAAAAATTATATTACTATTATCATATTAAAAATAATATTAAATTGTCGTGAGCCAAAACAAAATGCTTCTAATGGGAGACAACTGTATGGGTTGAAAAATGAAACTAAAAACGCTTCCCCTGTCTCAAGTATATTCACATTTTATTACAATTATGTGGATTTTAAAATCAAACTCCTACAGTTAAGTTATTGGAACCACAAAACTACGAGAAATAATTAATGGACACTCATGGCCTATGGATCATTTTTACCTTTCGGCCACAAGCAATTTCCGATAAAACTGTAGGGGCTGTCCTCGTTTTAGGCATTACAAAGCCTGCATCCCCTCGTAAGGATGGCTTATAATTTTTTTATGAGCAAAGAAATAATAACGATGGGACAAAGAGTACAAATAGGCACTAACTTAATCTAAACCAATCTTTAACCAAGTGTTTTACTACATTTTAAGGTCTATTTTGATTTTTGAGTTGTTTAATCAAGCGTATTACGTATTTCCTTGGTTAACTTTTTTAAAAATGTTTTCGTTTTGGTTTTTGATTTAACAGTTAGGGATACGAATTTTTTCAGTAAAAGTGAAAATGATCCATATACGCCATTTAATTATTTCTAATAGTTTTGCAAGATAAAAACGTATATTTGAGAATTCTGATTTTAACAATAATTACGATCACGTAAATTTTATAATCAAACTCATGAAAGTAAGTTATTTGAACCTAAAAACTACGAGACACCTATGGACACCTTTTGATTACTTTTGCCAACCAACCTCAAGCAATTTCCGATAAAACTCTGTGGGCTGTAGTCCAGCTGTCCTCGTTTTAGGATTCCAGATCATCCCCTTGTAAGAAAGGCTTATACCTAACTTTTTTTACTAGTAAATAATAATAACGATGGGACAAATAGTACAAATAAGCACTTACTTAGTCAAAACCAATGGGACTGATTTGGACCAAACAATTCAATATGGGGGGTGCCGGCACGTCTTTAAAACCCCCTAATTAAATTTATAAGGATAACTCCGGAAGTAGTAGAGTACTGACGTCGAAAAAGTGGTACAGGATATCAGTAGCAAACTACTAAAGATTGGCTCATTTGGAGATCCAATATTTTGAATCGGGGCTACATTATGGCTCCATACCACCCCCTCCCACTAATGATCCCCTGTAGTTAATTAGGGGTTGCAGCACAAACGATGAAACTCGAGCACAATCCAGCACAAACGTACCACAAACGAATGGCATAATTTAAATTTGAAAATTTGGAGGTGGGGGTGCAGTCGTTTCGCTGGCACCCCCAATCATTATCCATTATAACTCTAATCCAGCCAAATTATTCAACAGACAGTATTAAGTTAATACAAAGTTAGAATACATTGATGATGATTAAAAATCCAATAATATTAAAAAACAACGAATTGTGAGTTGTAACTTGTATTACAATTTTTGTAAGTTATAACTCAGGTATCAGGGTAAAATAAAAATACATAGATAGCTTCAGACCTGGATACCAGGTATATAGCCTGCATCCCCTCGTAAGGAAGGCTTATACCTAACTTTTTTTACTAGTAAATAATAATAACGATGGGACAAATAGTACAAATAAGCACTTTGTTACGGCGCGAACACCGTAATATACTTATATATAATATCGATGTAATGTTTATATGAAATCATTATCTGTAAGATTATCATTGTGGGCTTGTGCCGTACTATGTCCTCACGTATTATTTAGTTGCCGTCGGACCAGTCAAGTGGTACGACACACGCAAAACGAAATATACAGTCCACTTATTATATAATAAAAGTTTCTAGTTTTTTATTTTGGTTTTGTTCAATAAAAACAATCTATTTAGAAACAAACATTTTGGTCCAATCGAACCGGATTGACTAGCAATACATTTTGCGTAAATACGTCCCGCGAATTCGTTGTCGTTCAGTGGACATATTGTCTAGTTCAAACTTTGAAGTGTATGTTGTTCTTTAGTTCGTTTTGAATACATATAAATAAATATAACGTCCCCGCGGACACAGTAACCGTGCAGTGGCATTATTATAGTCAAATCGAACAATCAAAAAAGAAAAAAAATTCTCAAAGTGGTCCTGTTTTTCAATGCTCTAGTGTGCAGTGGCTGAACATTCATCGGTCGACATACAACCAGGTGAGTGAGCTAAAAATATTAGAAAATAAGGGCACAAGTTTCCATTCATTTTCCTTTAGGCACATTCTATAAAAAAAAAAATTAAAAACGTATATATACAAATAAAGTTTTCATAAGGTTGAAAATATAAATTAAGGGAAAAACCAAAAACGTAATAATGCAGGGTAGTCAGTCAAATGAATTGGCCGTCTATGTATTGAGGCGAGGTCAATTAAAGGCGCAGCTGACAAAATTCCAAACATATATCAATAATGTAGATATGGATAACAATATCATGCAGATAAAAATACGTCTAGAGAAAATAAAAGAACTTTGGACTGAGTTTGATGCAGTTCAGAATAATATCGAGGCATTAGATACCAGTAATGAGCAATTGGACTACAGAGATACGTTTGAAAATTTATATTTTGATATAGTTGCAAAAGCAGAGACTATGGTACAAGGTTCAAATGTAGTTAGTGGCATAAACAGGTTGAGTATACCGGGCAATCTTGCGCAAGGAGGTGACCCGGCGATAAAAATGAAGCCGTTAGAATTACCGTCGTTTTCGGGAAAATTTGAAGAGTGGTCCACATTTAAAGATTTATTTTTGACCATGGTACATTTAAATCCAACAATAGCAGGTGTACAAAAATTTGTATATTTAAGAATGTATTTGTGTGGGGACGCATTGGCTCTGATACAAAATTTAGCGACCACAGGTGACAATTACTCGATTGCATGGAACACTGTCGTAGAACGATATGACAATAAGCGTATTCTCATACAATCTTATACGAGAAATATATATGAATTAGAACCTATGCAAAAGGAGTCGAGTGTGTGTTTAAGGAAGTTTACTGCTGATTTAAACATGAATATGCAAGCTTTAAAGGCGTTAGGTCATGATCCAGATGACTGGGGTGCGCTATTATTGCATGTGATTCTAGTCAAATTAGATTATAATACAATACGAAATTGGGAATCTGTGGCGACCAAAGATATATTACCCTCTATATTGGAGTTGACAACATTTTTAAATGAACGGTGTAAAATATTAGAGGCGATTGATACCTCAAAAAATTTATCGAATAAATTAAATACGTCGCATTATACGCAGTCTAAGCAAAATTATCGCAATCCAAATGATAAAAACGTCCAATTTAAAAATAATAAAAAAGTAAATGCATTTGTTGCTACCAATCGTTTAGCATGTTATTTATGTAAACAGTCACATCCTATTTACAAGTGTCAAAAATTTATCGCACTCAATGCGAATGAAAGAGCACTAAAGGTTGATGAACTAAACCTATGTCGCAATTGCCTGGGTACGGGACACACGGATGTACAGGTGTGCAGGTCGAAAAGGGTATGCTCCAAATGTGATAAAGCGCATAATACGTTGCTGCATGGTGATGTACCACAAGTTGTACAAAATCCGTCTACGTCAAATGTGTCTAATTCGGAAGTGGTGGTGAGTCACGCCGCCCGTGGTCAAACGCGCGCACAAGTACTATTAGCGACTGCAGAGGTACATATATTAAATGCATGCGGCGAACTAGTTGTATGCAGGGCATTACTAGATAACGGCTCACAGATAAATATTTTGACCGAAGCAATGGCACAGCGATTAGGGCTCGCGAGAACCAAAATAAATAAATCAATAACAGGTATAAATGAGGTAGTGAGTCGTGCCGCGTATCAGGTAACCGCGTCTATTAAGTCACGTATAAATAATTATTCTGCCACCTTAGACATGCTGGTATTGCCAAAAATTACCGGAAAACTGCCGACCAACAATATCGATACTAACAAATGGTCTATACCCACGGATATTATGTTGGCAGATTCTAGGTGTTTTAAGCCGGAAAAAATTGATTTATTGATTGGTGCCGACACCTATTGGGAAATAATGTGCTCGGGAAATTTCAAACTGCACACAATGGGTCCGTACTTGCAGCAAACAATGTTCGGCTGGATTATTGTAGGACCAGTGAATGAAATTTCATCAAAAAATAATTCAATGGCTTGCTTTGTAATAAGTGAAGATAATTATTCAAATTTGGAAAAGGATATTGAAGAATTTTGGAAAATCGAAGAATTTTCCAATGCAAATATGGACGAAACGTCGGAAGATAGTATTTGTAGAAAACATTTTGAAGATCACATATCAGTAGATTCCACGGGAAAATTTGTAGTAAAATTGCCGTTTCGAGATAACGTAGACATGTTAGGCGAGTCATATAACATAGCGTTAAAAAGGTTTTTATCGTTAGAGCGTCGTCTCGGGAAAAATCCCGAGCGATATAGTCAATATAAAGGGTTCATGGAAGAATATGAGCATTTGGGGCATATGGAGAAAGTTAATGAGGACAATGACCTATCAGTGAAAACGTATTACATGCCACACTCCTACGTTCTTAATGATAGTAGCTGATCAACAAAATTACGAGTGGTATTTGACGGCTCATGCAAATCAGAATCTGGATTATCGCTAAACGATGTATTGTTAAAAGGTCCTATATTACAAGATGACCTCACATTAATTGTTACGAGATTTCGTACACATAAATATGCATTTTCAGCTGATATTAAAAAAATGTATAGGCAGGTATGGGTTGATAATGCAGATAGAGATTATCAGCGCATATTGTGGCGCGGTGATCCTAATGAGCCTATTAAGAAATATAGATTGTGTACAGTAACCTACGGAACGGTACCTGCAAGTTTCTTATCGGTTGCGTGTCTTCATAAATCGGCGGATGTAAATAAAATACGTCCGGAGATAGCTCAGATAATAAAGCATGATTTTTGTGTTGACGATTGTTTAACGGGCGCCTCAACATTATCGGAGGCTTTAAATTTGCGTAATGAATTAATTACATGTTTAAGTAACAATGGATTTGAATTAAGCAAGTGGACAGCTAATCATGCCGATTTATTAAAATATATACCAATTCCTAATGAAAACTCACTATACTCGTTAAATACTTAAATATGGAAACTGAAGCAATAAAAACATTAGGTTTGTATTGGGATTCAAACTCGGATAGTTTCATTTATAAAGTGTCTTTACCAATACCTGAACATCAGATAACCAAACGAAGTATTTTATCTAATATAGCACGTCTATTTGACCCGCTCGGATTGCTCGGACCGGTTATCGTGATAGCTAAAATATTAATGCAACAATTATGGAAATTAAAAATAAACTGGGATGATGAATTATCAACAGAAATTCAAATAAAATGGAAAAAATATTTAAAGGATTTAAATCAATGCAATAATATAAGTGTCCCGCGCTGGTTGCAGTGTGACGACACAGAAAAAATATATATACAAGGATTTGCCGATGCATCGTGCAAAGCGTACGGGGCTTGTTTATATGTAGTATGCACGCGCGCGGACGGTAGTCGCCACTCACAACTAATATGCGCAAAATCAAGAATTGCGCCGATAAGTATAATAACAATACCGCGATTAGAGTTATGCGCTGCCTTACTATTATCAAAATTAATAAAAAAAATAGTTCCAGCGTTACGAATTAATGTTACGAATATTTATTGCTGGAGTGATTCTAAGGTGGTACTAGCGTGGATCGCATCGGATGCAATGCGGTGGAAACCGTTCGTTGCAAATCGTGTGAGTAAGGTTCATAATTTAACATCACAGTATTCATGGTCGTATATTAATACGAAGGAGAACCCGGCTGACATTTTATCCAGGGGATGTGATGTTCAAGATATACAAAAATGTACATTGTGGTGGAACGGACCCGCATGGTTGACGGACGAGCACGCGAGATGTGAAGAACTCTGTCAAGAACACGAAGATGAGGAGACACTATGTGAAGAGCGAAAGCAGTCGAACACAGTAGTAATGGTCGCTGAAGTAAAGGCAAATTATTTTATACAACTGTGTGAAAAATATTCAAAATTAAATCGGTTTCAGCGTGTGTTTGCCTATACATTGAGGTATGTGCATAATATTTCAAGTAAATTAAGAGCAAAAGAAAGATACTCGGGTCCACTCAGCAATGACGAGATCCAAAAATCGGTAAAAATATTTATTAGGCTCTTACAAAATCAATTTTTTGGGGAAGCGCTTCAAAATAAAAAATTGCAGTCATTAAATCCTTTCTTCGACAACGACAGTATATTGCGTGTGGGTGGCCGACTTGGAAACGCGACAGATTTAACTTATGACCAACGGCATCCAATTATCATACCATATTCGTGTCATTTTGATACACTAATTTTTAGAAACGAGCACGAAATGTCATTACATGCTGGGCCCCAAGCCATGTTGGCAAATGTACGATTAACATATTGGCCGATAAACGGTCGTCGAACCGCTCGAAAAGTCGCCCATAAATGTATTGCGTGTTTTAAAAATAAACCTAATATTGTAGAACCAATTATGGGTATTCTACCAAAACCAAGAGTGAACCGACCATTAAGATGTTTCGAAACTACGGGTGTTGATTATGCGGGACCAATATTAATGAAGTCGCACGCACGTAGAAACGCACAGCTACAGAAGGCATATATATGCATTTTTTTATGTTTTGCAAGTAAGGCTGTACACATAGAGCTAGTATGTGATCTCAGCACGGATGCCTTTATAGCTGCCTTGCACCGGTTTATATCAAGAAGAGGTAAATGCCATACCATATATTCCGATAATGGTACTAATTTCGTGGGTGCTAACAAAAAGTTAAGTGATTTGTCCACACTTCTTCTTTCCGAACAGCACAAAATTCGCGTTCAAGACACGTTAACACTACACGAAATTACGTGGAGGTTCATACCGCCTCGGTCCCCCCATTTTGGTGGTTTGTGGGAGGCTGCAGTCAAGGCCGTAAAAAAACACTTGAATCGAACGATTGCAAATTCACGGTTAACTTATGACGAACTATATACGGTACTAACACAGATAGAATGTTGCTTAAACTCCCGTCCTTTAATCCCTATATCCGAAGACCCTACGGATTTGAATGTCCTTACTCCCGCCCACTTTCTAATAGGTAGCTCACTACGCGCACTGCCTGAGCCTGACGTGAGAGATATATCTATTAATAGATTGTCTCGATGGCAAAGAGTGCAGCAACTTGTCCAACACGTTTGGGCACGATGGAGCAAGGAGTATTTGGGGCAACTACAGGGACGAAACAAGTGGTCCAAATGCAGAGGACCATCCATTCAACCTGGGACGATGGTGTTAATAAAGGAGAATAACTTACCTCCTTTAAAATGGTTATTAGGCAGAGTCACAAATGTTCACCCAGGACCTGATGGTGTCATAAGGGTAGCTACGGTGCATACGAATTTGGGATCAAAAAAGCGAGCTCTTCGGTTATTATGTCCATTACCCATAGACACATGAATCACACAGGTTACGTGTTAATTAATTCTGTTTATATAATTGTTTACTATCCATATTTACCTCATTAAACGTGTACAACTGTAGCACACTATTTATAAATATTATATAGGTCAGCTAATATCAACTATTAAGTATCCATATTGATGCATAAGCATATATATATATTTATTATTTAATGACCGACCATTGTTATCTTCATTGTAGCGATAGTCAATAATATTGTGTATTATTTTTTGATCTTTGTTCACCTATTTAGTGAACATTAGTTCTACCACCTAATTATTCGATTACATTTATTATTATTATTTTTATTAGTTATTGTAAAATCATATGAAACCTGTTTGTAATAATTTATATTTAATAAGTCATTTATATTGTTTAATTATTCTTTTTTATAATATGTATTATATTTTGAAACCGTGTTTCAAGGTGGGCCCATGTTACGGGCGCGAACACCGTAATATACTTATATATAATATCGATGTAATGTTTATATGAAATCATTATCTGTAAGATTATCATTGTGGGCTTGTGCCGTACTATGTCCTCACGTATTATTTAGTTGCCGTCGGACCAGTCAAGTGGTACGACACACGCAAAACGAAATATACAGTCCACTTATTATATAATAAAAGTTTCTAGTTTTTTATTTTGGTTTTGTTCAATAAAAACAATCTATTTAGAAACAAACACACTTACTTAGTCAAAACCAATGGGACTGATTTGGACCAAACAATTCAATATGGGGGGGAGCCAGCACGTCTTTACAACCCCCTAATTAAATTTATAAGGATAACTCCGGAAGTAGTAGAGTACTGACGTCGAAAAAGTGGTACAGGATATCAGTAGCAAACTACTAAAGATTGGCTCATTTGGAGATCCAATATTTTGAATCGGGGCTACATTATGGCTCCATACCACCCCCTCCCACTAATGATCCCCTGTAGTTAATTAGGGGTTGCAGCACAAACGATGAAACTCGAGCACAATCCAGCACAAACGTAGCACAAACGAATGGCATAATTTAAATTTGAAAATTTGGAGGTGGGGGTGCAGCCATTTCGCTGGCACCCCCACTAAAGATCCGTTCTAGCTCATTAGGGTTTGCAGCACAAACGATGAAACTCGAGCACAAACCAGCACAAACGTAGCACAAACGAATGGTGAAATTTAAATTTTAAAATTGTGAGGTGGGGGTGCAGTCGTTTCGCTGGCACCCCCAATCATTATCCATTATAACTCTTTAAGAGTTGCAGCAGAAAACGATGAAATTCGAGCACAATCCAGCACAAACGTAGCACAAACGATAGCCCTTGGTTTGAATCCGAAATTCTGAGGTGGGGGTGCAGTCGTTTCGCTGGCACCCCCAATCGTTATCGCTTATAAGTCCTTAAGGGTTGCAGCACAAACGATGAAATTCGAGCACAATCCAGCACAAACGTAGCACAAACGAAAGCCCTTGGTTTGAATCCAAAATTCGGAAGTGGGGGTGCCAGGGAAATGCACCTGATTTTTTGCATTTTTTTCCATATTTCTATTAAAAATATTAAAAAATAACGCGATCGTATATGTCCTATATTTCATTTAATATTTGATATTATCAAGTCGGAACAACACAGATATGTTTTATATGCTTATCTACACTACATATTAAAAGTTTACCCCCCGCTTCATATTTTTCATTTAAGTATAACTCCGTTGCTATTTATGTTAGAATCTTCATTTTTACATTAAACATTTTTGATTTTAATTCTTTATAAGTCCCCCTCTAAGTATCATAGTGTAAAATCGTTTTTAAAGATTTTTGGATTTTAATAACGCGTCCCCTATTCGGGTGAGCGTTAAATATTGAACATTTTTTTTAATAGAACAATTCTATTAAAAAATTTAATTATATTATTATTATTATTACATTCTAAAAATTAGTCATCTTCATGCGAAGACAACATATTTTAATATTTCCTAAATCTTGAACAACAAAAATATCATGGAGATATTTGTCAATAATACCAGTTGTATTTATTAAATCATTAGCTATTTTACAAATTTCAAGCCATGTTGGCGATTCTAGTACTTTAGAAGCATAAGGTTTTCCCTTTCCAGAAATTCCAGAAATATCGTTTCCAACAATTAAAATATTTCCTTCAATTGGAATTTTATGTAGATTATATTTAATATTCTCAGAATTTTCATAGTATTCAAAAGCACAAAATTTCACATAAAAATTTTTTTTTTTTATACTTTTTTCTATTTCATTTTGCATTTCTTTTTCTTGTACCTTATTAAAATTATTTATAGTTTCCATTCTTTTATTATAAATTGCAATTCCTTTAACTCAGGTATTCAATTTCTTTTTATACATTTTTTGCATTTCAATTTTTATTTTTAATAGAACAATTCTATTAAAAAATATTTTAATTATTTTTGCATTTCGATTTTAATTATTAATATCATAAGTATTATGAAAAATATTTTGGGGGTGAAAATGTATTTAATAAGTTTTGCGAAAAATGTTTTTATTATTATTGCATTTCGATTTTTATTTTTAATAATTAAGTTTTGTGGAAAATATTTTTATTATTATTGTATTTCATAAGTTTTGTGAAAAATTTTTTTAATTATTATTGCATTTCAATTTTCTGATCTTTTTGCAAATTGTTTTCTTTGTGATCTTTTACTGATATATTATGAGGTGTGCCAGGACTGGTATATATATACTACTTACATCAAAGCAGAAGTTGCCTATTTAAACTAAAATACAGGTAAAGTTGTTATCATAGGCGCAACTAGAGGCCAAACACTGGGGGTGCTAAAATTATATAGAGAACACAAACCCGCGGGGGCTACGCCCCCACACCCCAAAGTAACATACTTTGATTTTCCAATTACTATAGCCATTCCTAAATGTACCATGAACATTGAACACATAAGGACACTAATATTTAAGTAAATCTGCAACAGTAATATACCTGATGAATACATGAGGTATATTATATTATTTAGGTGATAAAAATAGTAACCTGGAAGTATAAATAGATAAAAAAAAAATTTGGTCAAGTGGGTACCGCTTTGCTGTACAATAGTTGTTGAGAATGTTGTTGTAGTGGATGTGTTATATTTGAATTCAATTTGAAAAATGTTCTCATAAATAGCTATAAAAAGTCAAAAGTGTTAAAAGAATTTATGATGTATGGAAAATGCTATTATAAATATTTGGTGAACATTTCAAGAATCTACGGTTATTCATTTTGGAGATACAACAAAATCCGAAAAATCGATTAATGGGAATTCGATTTACCGCTGAATATTCGAATATCGTGACAACTATAAGTTCGAACACTCATAAAAAATTCAAGTTTAAGTATACGTTTTTTTTTTATAGGTAGACAAACTTATGTGAAATCTTTTATTAACATTTTTAATATTAGGCCTTAACTGCGAAAGGAAAATATTTTATGAATTGCTAACTGAAAAATAATTAAAAATATTTGAAAAATTTCTCAGTTATAAATACCTCAAAAAGAGTCAAAATTGTTTAAACATTTTAACATGTAAGGAAAATTTTAATTTTAACATTTGATAACAATTTCAAGTATCTAAGATTATTCGTTTTTAAATTACAACAAAATATCAAAAATTTATAGATGAAATTTCGTTAATTTACTGATAAAAATTGAAAATTGAATGTTGTACACATTTTAGATTCAAACGCTCATTAAAAAATGTATGTTACTTTCCAGTAAACTTTTTTTTTTGTTTAAGATAGTACCAATTGTGAGGAGTCTTCTATCAACATTTATAATGTTAGCTATGAAAGGAAAAAAAACTTTTATAAATTTCTAACTGAAAATTTCCAAAAATAAATTGAAGTATTCTAAATTCTAATATTTGATATACCTATAATCATTACAAACAATAATTTGTGTTTCTGCTAAAAACGAAGAAATAAAAAAAAAAAACCTTAACTAAAGCTAAAAAAACTATTTTTTTTAGATGATTTTTCAATTTTTGCTGTTTTTGAACTGGGGGTGCTAAATTAAAGTTTGGGGGTGCTGAAGCACCCCCAAGCACCCCCCTAGTTGCGCCTATGGTTGTTATACGACATAACTAATTTTTTAATGCATAAATTAACTCCTGTTAAACTCCAAAACTTCACAAATATCGTGTATAACGTGCTTTTGTTAAAATCATCAAAATCGTACTTTTAGAAATTAAGTTATAAATGAAAAATGAATTATTTAGAATAGTATATAAATATTAATAATAATATTTTAAAATAATTATAAGTTATATTTTAATAGCCCTTCACCATTTAATTATTTTGTTCATCTCACTTTATTTATTTATTTATTTATTTATTTATTTATTTATTAATTAATTGACGCCAGTCGGCATTTACAAAGATGGTAATATATACAGTTAATAAAAAATGATCTTATAAATGTAAAAATCATTGATAACATAAATAACAATTAAATTTAATGTACTAATAACTTAATAATAAACATAAAGATAATTACTAGGAACTGAACAGCATCCTAATTATGAGAGTGGCAATAAAACTAAAATACGAAGAAATATTATTTTTAGTATAACATGGAATTTTGTTTTAGGTGGTGTTAAGGAGGCGGAGCATTCTATGTATAGGATGGTTGTGGTTGTAATTTGTACGGTGAGAGGGGACGTAATATAAGGAGTGGTTTCTGGTTGGATATACAGGAATACGAAAATAAATGGAAGAAGTAAATCGGGGGCATCAATAAAGTATCCATTAAGTAAATAAGAGGATAAGAGGAACACGCTTCCTACTAAAGGTCATGAAGTGACATTTATTAAGATTTTGGATCCACCTACAGAAGGACTCAAGATCAGATTGTAATTGGAAGCAGTCAGAAAGAGAATAAATTTTAAGATAAATGTTGACATCGTCAGCAAATAACATTACTTTAGATATGGAAAGATAGTTATGAATAGTGCTAGTGAAGAGAATGAATAGAAGAGGACTTATATGTCCCAATTGTGGAATCCCTGAGGAAATAGTTGACAAATTAGAAAATGTTCCATGAACTTTGACATACTGTGTTCTGGAATTAAGATAAGACTGGAGAGAGGAAAGCAAAGGGTGCCAATACTGAGTCGAGCTAGCTCTGTAATAAGACGACAGTGATCAACTATGTCAAAGGCTTTTTCAAAGTTAATGAAGACTGTATCCACTTGGCAACCAGATTCAAAGCTTTCTAGAATATACGATGTAAAAACTAGGCTACTGGTTACTGTGGATTTCCCTGGACGAAAACCATGTTGATCGTCGGTTACTATATGGTTCAGATTCCTTTTAAGACAAGAATATACAATTGATTCAAACAGCTTGGCAATGTGCGGAAGTATGGATATACTTCTAGTAATAGGCCTATAGTTCTAGACAAAGGATGGGTCACCAGATTTTAATACAGGTGAAACTGAACAAGTTTTCCCTGCGACAGGAAAGATTCCTTCATCTAAGGAGCGTCTAAAGAGCATAAATAAAGAAAATGCAATTGAATCACGGCAGTTGAAGAGCAGCCGCCCAGAAATATTGTCGGGGCCGTTAGAAAAGTTGTTTTATAAGGAGTAGAGGGCAGCTAGAACATCATCAGGAGTGAAATAACAGTTAGAAGGAAGGTCATAGGGGTAAATATTATCTTGGGAGAAATCGGAAAAAGAAGATTGTGCGGTGCGAAACACAGATGAAAAATATTTAGAAAATAGATTGGCAGAATCAGTTGGAGAGTCTTCTGTCTCATTATCCAATCTTAATGTACAAGGAATAGTATTATTTTGATTTAACTCTTGGTAAATTTCCAAAATTCAGATGGATTGTGCAAAAGCATTTTTTCTGAGCTACTAATGTACTATGATTGGTAGTAAATTTTGGACAAACGTTTACATTTTGCTCTAAGCTCTGAGAAAGCGGAATAGTTAGCTGGAGAATTGGAGCGTTTATAAGCAGCATGTGCACGTTTTTTTATGTAATATGAGATTCTTAAGAACAGGGGAAGTCCAGTTAGGGAATTTCGGAGAATGAAAGGTCTTATTAGGAACATACCATTGAATTGATTAAAGCAGTGCTTCGTTGAAAATAGTCGCTGCACCATCAACTGAATACAGAGGAAAGGTGGCTTCCCAATATTATAGTAACTAAGAAAACTTGATATGGCATAGTAGTTGGCACTTTTAAAATCCTTATAAGTATGAGTATTGGAATATTTATTTTTAGCTTTAATAGGAACTCGTATGTGCTGTGGAGGGTGGTAAGAGTCAGGTATTACAAGAGGCTCAGTAGCTAAGCAAACTGTGACTTTATTTGAGTTTGAAAATATGAGGTCAAGAGTACTTCCTTGATTATTTGAAATTGAGTTTAGCTGGAAGAAGTTGTGGAATAAAAAAGAGTTGACGATAGTGTGCGAAACAGGATTCAAATCTCCCGAAGCAGAAAGTCCTAACAAATCCGAAGACCAGTTAATATGAGGGATGTTAAAATCACCACAAAAAACTGAATGAGGTTTGAGGTTTGATAAGACGTTTTCGACAGAGGAGAGATGAGACTCGACTATTGTAAGAGGTGCTACAGGAGGAAGGTATACACAGCCAACCAGAAAATTATTTATGTTAATGGACACTAAAGCATAGACTTGCTCAACATTCGAGACATTTAAAGGAACAGGATGAGATTCAAGTGAGGATTTTATAGCAATAAGAACACCACCACCACGGGAAAAAGAGCTGTTATTAGGATTTCTGTCTAGCCTATATACTTGAAAGCCAACGAAGCCCAGTTCAGCATCTTTTATATCAGGCGATAGCCAGGTTTCTGTTAGAATTATAATATCATAAATGGAAAACATTGGAAAAGCACACCTAATGTTAATTAGCTTAGTTTTAAGGCCACGCACATTCTGATAAAATATTTTAAGATTAGAATTACAAATATTATTACTTACATAATTGTGGTTTGTATAAGAATTACCAAAAGTTTTAGAAAATGTATCACGATTACATAAGTAAGTATTAATATTATGATGTGTGTATAAATGTTCGCTAATGGGCGAATTAACAACCATGTTATTGGCATAAGAGTTTCTAGACAATGGATGGCTTATACTGCTTAAAGAATTTCAGTTATTGGGAGGTTAAAGAATATTATTCACAAAATCAAAATAACAATTAATGGTTGATAAGGCGCGAGTGCATAACGTACAATCGGGACAAGTAGTATTCACCATTGTGTGTTGACAATCAACGGTGATGAAAACACTTTTGGTCCAAGGCGGGTGAAGAGACGGCTTTAAGATTCTTTGGGTGTTGGACGTTGCTGTCGATTTCCATTTTTTGAGTCGATAGTAACTGGTATAATCTTAGGAATTCCATCGTGGTATCGGATCGAGATATTGGATTCTCCTCTTTCTCGCCTGGTACTAAGTTCTTGATAGACCTCTCGTATTGATTGACGTTCAGATTGTGTACGATCACGGGTGATGGAGACTGAGCGGATATGATCAGGTGGATTGATTTGCAGTATAGGGAAAGTCATGACCACAGAATCAACTGCTGCCCGGGAGGAAAGTACTATTTTCAGTAGTCGTGGCAGTTTTGCGAATTCTGAAGGCTCTGAGTATGGACTCAACCGGAACAGGAGGATTAAGTTTATCAAAAATGTCTGAAACAATTTTTTTATCCTGGGTGATTCTTTCAGATATAGATGTGTTAGGAGATTCTGGTACACCTCGAACGATTAGGTTCACAGCAAGCAGTGTCCTCAGTTGTACTTCTCTACCAATGTCATTAATGGATGGTGTACTTTCAGTTGTGGATGGGGACGCACTGCTATTCGATAAAGTCTTTTCATATAATATACGTGTTTCAAGTCCTCCAACGAGTTGGCCCTGAGATTTAACATCATTAGTAACTGTGTTAAGTTGCTTGCCGAACGAGTTGACCGAATGGCCAAGAGCAGATATGTTCTTTCCTTGTTGCACAACCTTATCATTTAAAGCTGCCATAGATGAGGAGATGCCATTCAAGAGCTCATCAGATTTAATTTGCTGCGATTTGATGGACTGGAGTTCATTTAGAATACAGTTGAGCTTATAATCAGTATTAGTCGGTATAGGTTTGATCTGACAAGCTTTGCAAATACAAGAGGGATTATTAGAAGGAGGTTCAGCGCTTTGTGATAGAGGGTTAACACAGTTGGAGTGAAAAAGATTTTTGCAACTATTACACGAAATCGATGGATGTTCACGTTGAACAGGTTCCGAACACAGTCCACAGTTTAGGCGAACCATAGTATTAGTAAGTTATAACACTTGCCTCTTTAAATGGGTGGGACGCAACCAAAGCAACAGTGATGGAATTTGGATGTAGTTGGCGGATCTGTATTGGTGAAGGAATAATGATGATCGTTCAAGTCTCGATAGTATTTCGCAGGATAACAGCTGTTCTAAATTCTAATAGGTGATTGTATATTGGAGATGCGTTTAGACTATCACTAAATGATAAGAAAGTACTAATCGTCGTCTCAGAATGAAAAGGTTCTAACGCAATTTATGTAATGGTTCAGGGGAACGTTTTTAAGTATTACATTGAATAACTTTTTTCACCATAATTACTAAATCGTGAAAATTGTATGCAATATCAAGAAAGTTCCAAAGAACACAACTTTATCTGCAATTTGTCTTTCCTCAATTATTGACTGAGTTAATCATAAAAAACCAAAATATTAGTTTTAGAATTAAAAGGTTTTACGTGTAGAACTTTTTCATTCTGAAAATAAAAATTATTTATTTAGTTAGAACTTTTTCATTCTGATTTGAATCATTTTTTCTATGCAGTGATACCAACTTCTAGTGTAAACTATGTTATAAATTATACATTTTTTTATTATGCAATATTTTTAGTTTTTAAGTTAAGTATTATTATATTATAACATACCCGTATATGTAGTGGGCGGGGGGTCCCCCCACCCCCGGAATTTTGTTCGTTGTGTATGTGCCTGTACATACCTACTATAAGTAATAAGTTACAATTGTATGGTCAATTGTATTGGCGCAATTAGTGTAGGGAAGGGGGGTATATTGAAAACGCAACAATATAAATTAAACGGCATAAATCATAATTCACAATAATGAAAGATGTCAAAAACGTAATTCAAATTTAAATTGTGGCATGTAGGTATTACCTACCTTATCACCTCAACAAAACAAAAATAGACGGTAAATTTATGCTGGAATAATATTTTATTATGGCACAATAATAATTTATATTGTACCAGTGGTATAACCGTATAATAATCCGTATTATAACGGTACCTTTTCATTCTGAGATATTACATTTAAGACCGTTTAGAACTATTTCATTCTTAATTATTGTTTAGAATGAAAAGGTTGTAACTGATATTTCTCAAATTCGCGCTTATCATTCACGTTTTTATGAGTTAGAACCTTTTCATTCTCTGTATCTCATTGAATAATCAACGGATAGATCCGATTTCAAGATTGAATTATACAACAAAAAATTATAAATGATTATATGCAAAAAAACCATTTTTCAAAAAAATTGATTTAGAACCTTTTCATTCTGAGGCGACGTACTCACATGAAAAGCAGTATGAACGATGACAATATGAAGGTCCCAAAAAAAAGGAGAAAGATTTTGAGTAGGCACTTTGAAACGATTCGTAACTAATTCACGGTATGTTATATTAAAGAAAACTTTGAGAAACTTTGTTTCTTTTAAGAATTAATTCCTCGCCAAGTAAATAAATTATTGAAACAAAATAATTTTACTCCAATTCAATATAATTAGTATTTATTCATGATATCACATCTTTATAGCGCTAAAAGATCTGACATTTATTTTACTTAGCCATTATTACACGTAGTTTACGAAGGGTTTTTGTTGTGATAATAATATATAAAAATAAGAATAAACTATATTACATATTATATTATACCTATTGTGTTTTGCGATTTTTATAATCTTTTTTTAAATAATAAAATATGTATAATTTATATTATAATCTATTATAGGAGTTAGATTTTGTAAATATCAGTGGCAGTGTTAAAATTGGTAACTTATACATAGGTCAATATATCCCGAGTAACAATAAGTTGGTTCCCAGTCGGTTCACACGACCTAATGGTGTATGGAAAGTGCTAAGTTCAAGTATTGAACTTTTAATAATTTTCCTATTGGTCAAGGTGCTAGGTAAGATCAAAGAGCCGATGTTCAACGGTTCAGTGAAGTGAACTTAATATTATTATTTGACGGTTGTGCAACGGAGCTCGCGTGCAAACATTGAACGTTCAACGTTTTTTTCTTTTCAGTTATCAATATATACCTACGTAATATTGTTAATGTATTGTGCACGTGTGCAGGTATCATTATAGAATAGATACATACCAATACGTTTCCCTGGTATATTACACATGTACACCGATAAGTACCTATCTTTACCGTTTCTTCAACCGAAATATCTAAAAATCAGATACATCGTTTTTTCGCTTTTCGCTTTGTTCTCTATGTTCACGATATTCGTTACTCGCTAATAGTTCGCTCTAAATACATGGAAGCGGAATAATCATATTATTGTAAGTAGGTTTATAAAAACCTAACATATTACCGCATTCACCGTTTCTTCACCCGAAGGCCGAAAACTAAAAATCGTTACACATACGTATAGTGCATCGCGTGTTTACTACATAAACGACATTCGATATTCGCTGTAAATACGCAGAATAATCATGTAAGTATATTAATTAAAACGTATACACAATAGTTGTAGTTGATTGCCATAATATAATATATCAATATATTAATAATATACCTTATGATTTAAATACTATTTTTTCATGTAGCCATATAGGTAGGTATTTATTTAATCTCGTAAGGTAACTGTAATTCTTTGTTACACAATATATATACACACATGCACACATCAATATATCAATCTTAAGACCTGGGGCCCAATCCTTGAAATTGGCCCCCTGAAGTATATAATACTTGATCAGTACATATGTATTTGATTCAGATTTAAAATGTACTAATACATTTTATTTCTATAACATAATAATTATTAAATACACCTTCTAGCAAAGTAAGAATGAGTAAGGTATACGTATAATATGTGTAGTTGAATACTTACAGTAGACAATTATGTATAAATTGACTGATATTTAGAAATCATATTTTTTTTACTTAAATAAAAATTAAGTTATAATATTGGTTAAATATATATTATAGAAAAAAAAATTGTTAAACAATAAGCTTAAACAAATAACTACATTAGAATACTTAGTTCAATTTTATAATTTATAATTAAATAGGTACCTAAATTATGTTTTGTTTTTAAGAAGTTACTGATGCTGTTGTATTTTATATTCTGTTTGTATTTCAAGTAATAAGTAACCAAAATATGATTTTAATCTCAATTAAAACAACATTTTTTTAATGAGAAATATATATGGTATTAAAATACAATACATTTACATTGGCACCCTTTTAATAATTTACATTTTTATTAAATAAATATTAATTGTTTTCATAATACCTACCTGTGGTTAATTTACTTAAGATATCTTATATTACCCTAGCAATAATAATACCTTTATAATGTTATATATATTAGATGGAGTATGTATAATAACTTAAATGAAAAAGTGTAGAAAAAATAAACAAATGTGGTCTTATTATACCTACAAAAATACAATTTAAAATTGTATTTAATAACTATAAATATAAACTTAACTCTTAAGTGTTATAACAATATTATTCTACAGTTAGAAGATATAGTTATTTAAATTTTTTATGGAATACTTGACTACTTGATAGTTACTACAATATATAAATATAGCTATGTAAATGGTTTGAACTACATGACCTTACCTATCACATTAATTTTTATAATTATTATGAAATCATAAATTAATTTTAAAAATGTTATTTTATATTTATAGAAGTTTACTTATGATGGAAGGCCTAAATAAAAAATAAAGCTCAAAGTTAGCAAAAGTTCTAAGTATAGGGCTGGAAAAAAACCACTGCCATGATATATGCTAGTTCTGAAAGTGAAACCGATTTAAATCAGCCCATATTAAAACAAAATTTTTCTGCAATAACACCTCTTGGTCATTTGAATGATTTAGTATCTGGCCAACCGAATTTGAACAATTGTTATAATGATAACCACATGTCTCTCGAAACTGCAGAAATTGAAGATACCCCATTAGAGGTTTTTACAGATAGTGGTGAATGCTGTTCAACAACTTCTGAATATGAAAATCCATCTGTTGATAGTGAAGATTTATGTTCTGAACTAGCAAAACGGGCTTTATTATTTAATATTTCAAAAGTAGCAGTTAGTGACTTACTTAAAAGATTAAAATTATTACTGAATTTGAAGGAACTTCCACAAGATGCTCGTACATTACTGAAACACCAAAAATACTCAAGTAAGAGCAATGGAAGATGGACAATATTATTATTTTGGAATAGAAAAATCAATCAAGATGTTAGATGAAGAATGTGTAGGCCAATTGCCATCTGAATTGTTGTTTTTGGTTGGCATAGATGGAATATCTGTTACAAAAAATCTACTACCTAATTTTCTAACTAAGAAACAATAATATATAATTGTAATTTTTAATATTTAGTATTTATAACTTACTCTACCATAACATTAAAGTACAAAATATTGTGTTTCTAAAAGTTTATTAAATACTATATTTGTACGTATTATTAATTTTGGTGATGGTAATTACGTATTAATAGTTTATAATTAATAATAGTATATACATGTAGAGTAAATACTATTGGTAATTACATAGGTACGCGGATAGGATATTAGTAATTTAATAAATATAATTTATAAAAATTATATATCGTCGGCCTAATTCGCAAAAGTCGTATCTCCATTTTTTTGTCATTTTGGGATTATTTACTCATAAAATAAAGAAAAAAAAACTGCGTCTGTTGATACAATCAAATTTCCGATTTCATAATATTATCCTCCATGAAATTGATAATTAGAAATCGTCGTATCTCTAATTAATAATATGGCCGTAAAACGTTTTTTTCTTCTCCTGAACAATTTGTAATTTGGACATACGACCTTTGCGAATTAGGCCGACGATATACCTAATGTTTAGATAAATATATGTCAGAATCCGATAGTTCAGATATTGACACTAGTTCTGCGGACAGTTCAATAAAAGTTAAAAAATATAAACCTAAGAAAGAGTTCTTTGCGGCAATTTTAAAAGACGCTGTAAAGAAAGAATTTTTAGAACGAACTAAGAAACAGATAGCTAACACTGAAAAAACTGTTAAGGAAAAGTTAGTAAGAACACATAGTTTAACAGAACAGATAGGTATCACGCCACGAAAAAAGGAACAAATCGTAGGTCGTTTAGTACTAGGTCAGACTCAAGCGTAATTCACGTGCAGTTAGAACCAGTGGTTAGAAAAAAAATGAGTAAAATGGATTTGGATAAAGCAATTGCTATGATACCTATTTGCACGGGCAAAAAGGATGTAGCTGAAATTATAAACATTTGTGAAATCGCAATTAAGGAGACAACGGAAGCAGAAACACCGGTATTATTGAAAATAATTACTTCTAAGTTGACAGGAAATGCGTTAGAATTAACAAAATATCGAAATTTAGAAACATGGGGAGCAATAAAAACAATATTAGAGGGGGCATTCGAACAGAAAGTATCGGAGAGGGCCCTTTCAATAGCTTTAAACACGGCACGTATGACGGAGGGGGAAAGTGTGGCAAAATTCGCTAGTAGAATCGAAGAGTTATATTATAAACTCTGCGCGGCAAGTACGGTAGGTCTAACTCCTGCCGAGGCAGATATATTGAAGAAACAAACAAAAAAACAGGCTATGATCATATTCATGACAGGGTTACCTCATCACCTATATACAGTATTGAAAAGTCGAAATCCCAGTACTTTGGAACAATGTTTCAAATCGGCAATCGATGAGATGCTTGAATATGAGTAAAAAATGGAAATGGACAAATTACAGAAACAAATTGGTAACGGAAAACAGACAGGCGTCAATAACGAGGAAAGACGACAAAACGACGGTAATGGAAATAACGCAGTTAATCGCGGAGGAAACGGTAATTCAAATCAAAATAACAGAAATAATAATTTCAATGGATATAACAACAGATACATTAATCACAACAACCGCAGTAATTATGGGAATAACAATCAGGGCGGATATGGTTCACACACGGTTAATCGCGGCGGTTATAGAGGCGGAAACAGTTATGGACGAAATTTCAATGGCAATAATGGACAACAAAATAATAATAATCGAAGTAACACTGGATGCTACACGTGTGGCAAGTCTAATCACTTAGCAAGAGATTGCTGGAGCAATCGACCCAATGCTCAACAAAATATGTATAACAATAATCGTGTAAACGGCACGCGCAATGCGAACAACAACAATAATGTTCGTAGGGACAATAACAATACTCAGGGTGTACTTTGCAGTTACTGCAATAAGATAGGTCATGAAATTTCAAACTGTTATACAAAACAGAAAAATGAAAGAAACACGTCGGGAAACGCCAACGGACCATCACCAGTGGGAGTCAGATTGGTGCAAGAAATAATTCAAGACCCACACACAGGATTTTCCACATCACAGCAAAATTAATAGACAATCACATTACTTTAAAATCACCTAGTTTTAATAAGGATCAAATTAAATTATTAGTTGATACTGGGGTGGATCTAAATATAATTAAAATTAATGCATTAAAAGGAAACACTGAAATTAACGAAAACAAAAAATTTATTTGAAGGGCACCAATGAAAAAATAGTTTCTACAATAATAAAAACAGAAATAGAATTAATAATTAATAATGAAGCATTCGAAACGCAATTTTATGTTGTAAACAATATTTTTCCAATTTTGGTAGACGGAATTATTGGTAATACATTTTTAATTGATAATCACGCAGTATAGACGTCGCTAATAACACGCTTACAATAAATAATAATAAAATCGGAGGCGATAGTGATATTTGTTTTACATTAAAACCGCGCTCAGAAACAATAGTACAAATCGATATACCTGATAAAGAAATGAATAATAAAAATATTTTAATTAATAAACAAGAATTAATACCGGACGTATATTGCGTGAATATTTACAATACAGTCAAAAACAACAAAGTTACTATAAGCATATTAAATATATGTAGGTCAAGCGCGTAATATTTCATACGACACGGATGTTTTGACAGATAGCGTACAGTGTATAAACACAATTGACACTGAACGCTCGTGTCGGGTCAGGGCGTTGATACGTACTGATCATCTTCAAGTTTACGAGTATAATTCGATAATAAAAATATGTGAACATTACGCGGACATTTTCTATTTAGAAGGGGATAATCTTACGTGTACTACGGCAGCAGAACACGTAATAAAAATTCTTAAGGATTTGAAACCGATTTATAAAAAACCATACCCCTTTACAGTTTTCACAACAACCGGAGATAGAAAAACAAATAGGTCAAATGATGAAAGATGAAATCATAGAAAGATCAATGAGTCCGTTTAATGCACCACTAATATTAGTCAAAAAGAAGGACGCCTCGGGGAAACAAAAATTCAGAATAGTTATCGATTTTAGAGCACTTAATGACATAACATTAAATGAATTTCACCCAATACCAAATATAACGGAAATATTAGACCAATTAGGACAATGTCAACTGTTCAGTTTGATCGATTTGAAATCAGGATATTTCCAGGTGCCTTTGGCTAAAGAATCAAATGAACTTACGGCATTTTCAACGGGACAAAGGCATTATCAATTTAAACGATTAGTTATGGGACTAAGTTCAGCTCCGGCGACATTTCAAAAAATGATGATGAACGTACTGTCAGGATTAATAGGAATGAAATGTTTAGTATACTTGGATGACATAATAGTGTATGCTAAGAATTTACAAGACCACAATGAAAAATTAATAGACGTATTCGAAAGATTACGTATTCACGATTTAAAAATAGAACCAGACAAATGCAGTTTTTTACAACGGGAATGTTTATTTTTAGGTCATGTAATTAGTGACGAAGGAATCAAACCGGACCAAGCGAAAGTTAAATCTGTAAAGGATTTTCCGGTTCCTAAGAATGTTAAACAAATAAAAAGTTTTTTAGGACTTAGTGGGTATTATAGAAAATTCATAGAAAATTAAAATGCTATTGCTAATCCAATAGTAAAATTATTAAGAAAGGTCGTAAAATTTAATTGGGACGAAAATTGTCAAAAAGCTTTCGACAAATTAAAAGAAATATTGTGTTCAGAACAAATTTTACAATATCCAGATTTTACGAAACAATTTATACTTACGACAGACGTTAGCGGAAGGGCACTAGGTGCAATATTATCTCAAGGTAAAATAGGATCGGATTTACCAATAGCTTACAGTTCTAGAACTTTAAATAGGGTGGAATATAATTATTCGGCAACGGAACTGGAATGTTTAGCGATTAAATTCGGCGTAAAAACTTTTCGACCGTATCTATATGGTAGGAAATTTACAATTATTACGGACCATAGGCCTTTTTCATGGTTATTCAATTTAAAAGACCCATTATCCCGATTGGCAAGGTGGAGACTACAATTGGAGGAATATGAATATGACGGTGCATACTAGTTGCCTCCCAAAATATACGAATTGCCTCCCATCCTTATCGTAAATAAAAAGGTTAATATACACTAGTTGCCTCCGATGACCAGGTAGTTCATAATTATATACGAGTTGCCTCCCAAGAATTTTCACACTAGTTGCCTCCCGTACAGAATTAAGTAGTGGTTCATGAACTTCACTAAAAAAAATCGGATAAATAGATGCATTTATAAAATTAACATAATTAATAAATATTTTATGTTTTATTAGGTATAATATACGTCATTTATATACAAATTACACAACTATAAAAATAATAAATCAATTAGTCAATAAGTCAAACAAAATAGGATGTAGTACATATAATTATAAAAGAAAAGTGTGGTAATATAATGGTATACAAATTATAAATTATTTTAAACTAAGTCATTATGGTGTTAAAAATATAATATAGTTCAGTTAGAACACATCAGTCTTAGGTATAATATACGACATTTATACACAAATAACACAACTATAAAAATGATAAATCAATTAGGTAGTCGTATAAGTCAAACAAAATAGGTAAAATACAAAAAAATATTTATAACATTGCTTTGGCTTATATTTTTTAGCCAATATTTGTAGGTACTCAAAATTTGATATTTTTTTTTTCATTCAGCTTTTTTATTTGGGTATCAATGAAAATTATTTTGTTTCTAATTTGTAATCGACCATGTAGTTTAGGCTTATTAGAACTTGGTATTAAAATTACAGTCTCAGTTTGAATTAGTTTTAAAACTTCGATGAATTTATATATATTATTATGCGGCGACTCAAAATAGCTATTAAATTTGCTATGGAAATA